ACACGCCGAGACCAAATAGGAGTCATCTTCGAGAATCGTCGACTCTTTCTGTTGTCTAGCTCAAGGCGGGAACTTGAAATTCTCGCGGTCGATCGACACGCGCGGCGAACTTGTTATCCGAAGATAGATCGCGTCGTAGGAATCGCGAGCACAGAGGCAGCCGTGTGTTTTGTTCGTATTATTATTCTTTTCGATCCGCAGCTGCGACGGATCTCGGGGAAACGACGCGGCGGCGGCAGTGGCTTAATACGCCCGATCAGATATATCCCGATTGGATAATGCTCTTAATGTTAAAACTACGTCAAACGCGTTCCGTTCCACGGGTATTATTAACCCGTGCGTGTTAAGAAGATTTGTGTCTCTCGCTGGGAAATACTGCGAACCGCGAGCGTAATACACAAGACCATGTCTCGATGCGGATTTACACTTGTTTGCTCCCTCGACCGATGACTTAAGACCCATTAAGTCATCGTTCACGGACGACAATTTTGCCAAAACTCTGTTGGGCGAATCGATCCTCCTCTGCGAGTGATTCGAGTTCGAAGAACTCGCGACGAATTCGTGCTCGCTTTCAAACGATTACGAGAACTTCATCGTTCGAAATGAGATATCTTCCTTGAGCGTCGACGTGCAAATTTGCCACGCTATGCGGAGCGGATCGATATTGAATATTCGCGCGACACGACACACGGGTTGGCCCGGTTTGCAAAATTTTCGGAGCTCGAGGCGAAACACACGGTGTCGTGTTCAAGCGCTCCGTTGTCTAAAATTTCTTTGGAGTCAGGTATGGTAGCCGGTTCGCAAAGGTATTCGTTTCACGGGTGGTAAATAGGAGGAGCAGTGGTTGTGTAGTATTTTCCACTTCCTCCCGGTTGAAAAATGACACGCGAGTAAGGTAAATACGTTAGGTAGAGGAGAGACGACGGAGATCGGCAATCACAGCCATTAGCCGCTATTTTTGTCGACCAAGAGAGAGAGAGAGAGAGAGAGAGAGAGAGAGAGAGA